GCTACTCACCACCTCTCAGGAAAGGCAGTGCTGAAGGTGTTAGCTAGAAACCTCAGGTTGCTTCTACAAGCCTTGAGATCAATGGGGATGTGAACTGCTTCCTTCTTCTGTGCCTGCTTTCTCTCAGCACTGTCCTTCTTCCTCATCCCCTCCTCCTGTGCCTCATCCAACCTCAGCACCCTCTCCATTTGCTCTTCCCTGTTTTCCTTTGCCTGTGCTGCAGGTAAAGCCCACCCCAACACAGGGTTTTGGACCTCAGGAGAAGTACTGCTACCATCTCCCTACCCAGGGCCTGCTTCACCAGGGACCATAGATAGGTTTTCAAAGCTGGGGAACCAAAGAGTATGTTTAAATTGACAATGAGACTACTTCCAAATTTCTGTCCCACCCCTTGTGTGCAGTTTTTCTAGCTGAGGACTTGAGCAGTCATATCATAATGGTATAGATGGTATTGCACTTGTGTAGGTGATGGATCCACCACTGCCCATAGTAATTATGACCTTAGCTGAGCATCCAGAAGCACTAGTGGATGGCCCAGGATTTCATTGTGCTAGCCACTGTACAAGGGAACAGACAGTCCCTGTCCCCGCCAGGGGCACGGAGAAACAGGTCAACAGAGGAGGATTAAAGATGGTGCTTCCTATGATCATTCAGGGCAAGGTGGCCAGGTGCTTGGCAGCCATGAATTACTGAAAGTCAGTGCAAAGCAGCAATATATGCAAACAGCATGATGTTTCTGGAAAACAGAAAAATCTTAGGAAAGCCAAGCTGTGAGTATGAGCCCCCATAAAAGGAGACACAGGCACCAATTTTTGAATCAAATTTCTGTAGCTACGTTGAAAGTGCTCATCCTTTCTGGTAACACCTCCGATCTGGCAGGTCAGGCTGCCTTGGCAGGATCACTGGTTGGAACAGATCAGCAGCCGACAGCTCAAAATCTGAGCTGGCAAGTTTACAAGTGAGTCCCTGAGATCTGCTAACTTAAGTCACTGCAAAGGGCTCAGCAAGCCCAAGAACTCCCACCCCACACAGACTCACCAGAGAGGTATGATAACCTCATGAGAAGTAGGCAGGGACTAGCAGAAAGAAGTCAGACATGTAGTTTGTGCAATCCCATCAAGTGGGACTGAGGGTGTGATCAAGGGACTGGGCTTTTATCTCAGCTGTGAAACTCCACTGGAAGGGCATGGAGGGATTGCTTCCCACACAGTGCTACCATGAGATCAGAGTGAAACTCCCAGCGAGGAGCAAAGCATCCACTCCTCCTTATGAACTTCTGCAGTGGACTCCTGAAGGACAGAGGTATCAAAGCGGCAACCAGGCAGAAGGTCCCATCTTGTAATGAACCAAGGTTTCCTCACACAAAGGTGCAAGTTGCGCAGGCTGTTTGTGTTGCTTTGGCTGCCTGCCGGCAACAGTGAAGCAGAAGTCAATGGAGAGTCTTGCACCCAACTTTGCACACCCTTTGCCTAGAGGCAGCTGTGTCCTTAGCCTCCTCAGCTGCTGGACCACATGAGTCAGAGGTTGTCTTGCCCATCAACAAATGATGGAGTTTGCATTTGCAGGCTGCTGGTCTCCTTTCTTTTCCACTCTCCATATTGCAAGCCATCTCGTGACTTTGCTTTCATGTTCATGCACTTCTGAGAACAGCACTGGTGCCTTTGCTCAGAGGATCTTCTGCACAGCTAGAAGCTGTGGTACCAGCAACATTAGAGGCCCACAAAGAACAGTTATTCACTATGGGGCTCCATACAGCAGACCATGTTGAACCAACGTTCTCCTCATGTTCCTGGGAGATCCTGGTGCTTTCTCAGTTAGACATTGTGCTGGAGCAGAATTGCAAGTGCACTGGCATTTGCAAGATGGATTATACTCATGACCCAGGTTTGTGCAGACTATTTGCCTCACAGCTGCAAAGCAGCTGAAAGACAACATTCATGGACTTAATTTCTTCTTGTATTAAGCTTTTGATTGAGCAGTGCTCTGGTGTGGATGGCTGGTAAGAGAGTGGTCTGGCAGGAATGTGTTTCTCCAAGTGTGCAGTCAAACTAGGAGGCTTGGAAATGCCGATGGCACACCATTCTGCAGGGCAGCTCTGCAAATGCCTCGAGATGTCTACTATTAACAGCGTTCAGGAACAGTTTTCTCCTCTAAAAACTACAACATCAGGTTTATCCATCTGGACCTGGCACTGAAAGTGCCTGGGTATCACTGGGGTGTTTGGGAATTAGACTAATGACAATGAAAAGCTCTAGGACAGATACACAGACAAGAAAGATCAAGAAAAGATGAGCACACAGAAAACTGATTGCTTGCTTTGTCTGATCAAAGCTCAGCATTCCCTTGGACCTTTCCCAGGCAGGCTAGGAGAGAAATAGGTCAGGAAATGTTTACAGTTTTAGTGCTCAAGGGCTTGGATGAATCCTCCCAGGCCCTTGGATGGCACTAACATCACAGTTGTTTTAAAATCACTTGTTCAACCTCATCCCTGCTCCTGGAGGACTTTAAATTGAATGCAATGGGCATGCTTACAAGATGATTTATAGCTTAGGAAATTGATGTCTGTCTATCCCAGAAAGGTGTGCTCCTGCTGGTCCTCTCCTTTAATCCCAGATGGCAAGGAAAGAGCATTTACACCTCTCCACCCTCCCTTATCAGACCTATTCTTTCCCCTTGGCATATCGCTCAGCCATCACCTCTCCTGCAATTCACTTCAAACACTTCTCCCTTTTCATCCCTCCGGGCTTCTCTAGCAGGTCCAGGGCATCCCAGGTGGTTTAAAGTCCAAATCCCTTTGCTGTTTCTTTTGCAGAGGTTTGGTGGTTGGGTTTTTTTTTCCTCCTGCTGATTTTGGTTTGAGTTTGGAAATCTGAATTCAAAATAACACACTTCTTATTTGCTCATAGGTCTGATTTTGAGTCCTCATCTGGTTCCCCTTCCCCTGAGCCAAATTTAAACTGAAACCAAAGTCTGATCAACAAAGAAAGAGTTTCCTGAAACACGGATAGTCTGTGAAATGCTCAAAGGATTTGCAAAAATTGTTTCTAAAAAGTCATGTTTTATCAGCCAAAAAAAAAAAAAAGCCAAAGAAAAATGTCAACCAACTTAATTTGGCAGACAGCTGCTCTGTGCATCTGCACAGCAGCAATCTGCTGCGGTTCCTGAAGCAAACAGGCCACACACACGAAGCTAGTCCAAGGTTGTGTGCCAAATCATCACACATAACTGAATTTTGGCCCCCATGGGATTGAGTAGGTTAGGAGGGGTGCTCAGATGTGGTACCAGGGTCCTGCTGGCCACTCTGGGGATGGATCACTGGGGTCCACAGCTCCTGGACTCTTGTGGGGAGCACCACTTGTGGGGAGATCTCAAGAGCATTTGCCCTCCCAGCCAGGTATCTGATGAAGTGTGTTGCGGTAAGAGTGTCTGGATGCCCCTCAAAAGAAAACTGAGCCCTGGACAGAAGCAGTGTGAACCTGGGACTGAAGGAAAGCTATTGCCAAGGTTTCCTCTTCATCTTCTTGATCTCACAGTCTTCCCCAGACAGAGCCCCTTCCAAGGGTTTGGGCATCACAGCGGGAAGGGGCATCCCAACTCACGCTCCATCCTGGAGACAGGTGGGAAACACCAGGCAGCAGCTTTGGCCCCAGACTCAGGGATGCTGGTGTCCAACACTGCAGTCTGGAGACCAGGAAAGTCCTCTGAGCCAGCCCCGGACCAGTGGTTCCAGCTGTCCTTGGTACAAGCCCTGGTGACATCCAGTTCTGGGGATGCTGGGCTCCTGCCAGAAGCTCCTGGGCACCATGAAGGCTATAGCCAGTTCTACTCCCACCTCCACCTCCACCATCAGCTGCCACAGATCACCTGTCCCCCACCCTTCAGCCTCCGAGCCAACCATGCCCTTTCCGCAGCATTGGTTGGAAGCATCAAAGGGCTCCTGCACCTCCTAAAACATTTGCATTGGTGACTGAACTAGGTACAAGGGATGGGCTGAATGTCTTCAAACAGTTACAAAATGGGTAACTTATGGCATACCCTAAGCCAAATCATTTTGCATAACAAGGAGAGCTAATTATTCTTTCAGTGCTTGACACTGCAGTGGGTCTCCAGTTCCCACACTCTGGGATGAATTTGACAACTTTGGACAAAAACTACTACACCCATTCTAAATGAAGACAACACTTTTTTAATAGGACAAACATTGCTACGTGCCTCTTGGAGGTAAAAAAAAAAATACATTAAGGAGAGGACCATGGAGAGCAGACACATCATTCAGTGTCTGCAGAGGAATCTGCACTGATTTGCTCTAACTACATGTGTAAGAAAATCATCATGTTGCCTCTGTACAGGCATTTTTAATAGCATCTCATATAGCAATGTTACAAATAATCTGTGAAATGGAAACAAAAATACAACTTTGTTTCAGGTATTGTGAACAGCTATTTTCTGTTAATGCTAAAACACTTATTCTAATTTTTTTTAATTTAATTTATGTCTTTATATAGAAGAGAATCAATTCAAAATGAAGAGCCAAAACACTTTTTATACAAGATGCATATGCTGCTATTCTTACATTTGAACTGTTTTCATGCTAATAAAATATAATTTTCTACTGGGTAAAAAAATTCCACTAGAAATAACTTAACTAGCTCCAGAGATATTTTCTGAGCATTCAGAAGCACATGGGACAGTTTGCAATGAAAGGTTTTGGAAGAAAATCACCTCTGTACAGACTGGCAGTTGAGTGAGAACACACCTGGGATGTGTCACACACTCCATTCAAATTGCAGCATTGATGGGAAGCAGGGGAAGAGCACAGCATATCCAAAGCTATGCATTTTGGGACTGTTCCCAGGGATCAAGTAAACGGCTTTCAATTGCAAAACTCAGCACTGCAACAGCTAGACTAACATGAGATTCAGGTCTGCCAAGCAGGCAGAGAAGGATATAGTACCATTGCATTGTTGAAAATGCAGAGGGCTCTTGAGCAGTTGAAGCATATGAAGACCTTGGCTTGACTACTGATGGATCAGACCTTGAGTGTGCAACTGGAACTTCGGAGTAAAGGCTAACACACACAGAGGAGTTTGGAGAGAGACAAATCCACTGCCATTGGCCATATCCTACCTCTAGCTTTTGGTTATTCCACCTCTTTTTTAATCTGTTTCCAAATCCTCTGAGGTTTGCTTGCTGTGAGACTAAGTTTTGACCCAATGATCCCTTTCTGACCCAATGATCCCTTTCTGAGAATGACATACCACTTGGTTGGGGAGGAGATAAAGACATGCCTTTCTTCTTCAACCAAGGCACCAGCAAAAAAATATACCAAGAGTTTCAAATGATTCTGCCCCTCTACTCCACTCTTGTGAGACTCCACCTTGAGTACTGCATCCAGCTCTGGAGTCCTCAGTACAAGACAGACATGGACCTGTTGGAGCAGGGCCAGAGGAGGGCCACAAAAATTATCAGAGGGCTGGAACACCTCTCCTATGAGTAAAGGCTGAGACAGTTGGGGTTGTTCAGCCTGGAGACAAGAAGGCTGTGGGGAGACCTTATTGTGGCCTTTCAGTACTTAAAGGGGGCTTATAAGAAAGCTGAGGACAGACTTTTTAGCAGGGCCTGTAGCGATAGGACAAGGGGTAATGGTTTTAAACTAGAAGAGGGTAGATTCAGACTAGATATAAGGAAGACATTTTTTACAATGAGGGTGGTGAAACACTGGAACAGGTTGCCCAGAAAGGTAGTAGGTGCCCCCATCCCTGGAAACATTCAAGGTCAGGTTGGACATGGCTCTGAGCAACCTGATCTAGCTGAAGATGTCCCTGCTCATTGCAGGAGGTTGGACCTGCAGGTCATCACCTTTAAAGGTCCCTTCCAACCGAAACCATTCTATGATTCTATCATTCTATGATCCCTTTCTAAGGATGACATACATCTTGGTTAAAGAGGAGATAAAGACTTGCCTTTCTTCTTGCTTTGCTTGAGCAAAAAAAATATACCATGAGTTTCAAATATCAGGACAGAGAACGCCTCAGCACCAGCACGTGGGGCTGCTTGCATTGTCCTCTCTGCCAGGGCTAGTGCTCCACCTGAGAGCCTGCTGCCATGAAAAGCATTGCCTGAGCATGGCTTGGGTCACTTGTACCCATGATCAGGGACATGCTGTGCCCTAAGCTCTGATGATGGGGCAAGCAAACGTTCACCTTGTGGTTGGCTGCAAAGACCGGCCACAAGTAGCAGCTTCCTTCCCCTTTAGACAGAAATTCCCTTTATTTACAGCCTCTCCCAGAAAACAAAGGGGAGGGGGAAAAAAGAAAGAGGGGTAGAGATTAAGAAAAAGTACGAGGAGGAGAATGAAATCCCCAAGATTTTCTATCTCTACTTCAAGGGTCCCCAGGGAAAGGACCCCTCTTGCTTTCCAGATCTGTCTTGTTACCTACTCAGCCATCTTGCTACGTATTCAGGGATCATTTCCAAGGGTCAAATAAATGCCTGTGATTTATGCAATATAGGTCAGGACCTATTTAACAGCTTACAAAGAAGCTCCCCCCCTCCCTGTTCTCCCTCTGGCTCTTGGTGATGAGAAAATAGGTCACAGGCAGGCAGTGGGGGGATTAATAATTTCTTCCGGCAACTGCTGGGAAAAATATTTTCAGTTCCATTTAATCATAAAGCTTTTTAATTAGTTAGTTTGCAATTTTTAATGTATAGTTTATAAGCTCTTGTGTAGGGGGGCAGATTCCTGGAAGGAGAAATCTCCTGCTCCCCACCTCCCCGGGGTAGCACAGAGAAAGTTCACCAGCCAGGCAGAGCTTGGCAGGTCCTGGGACCAACATCAACATGGTCTTCAGATCTCACAGAAGCCACACAACTCCAGCCCCATGGGATGGACACCCTGGCACAGACCTGGCTTTCAGTCCCTCTGCTTGCCTGGGCAGCAAGGAGGTGGAAGGGGCATGTTCCTCAGGGATGAAAGAGCCAGAGCTGCGGGACCCCTTCACATCAGCCTCCCCTGACTCCATAGTGCAGTATCTACCCTCCACGGGAGCATGGGACAGCTTTTCCCTGATACAACACTCGGGTAAAGGGGTTCAGGCTGCTGCACACAGATGCCAAACCCACCTTTGATGTAAATGCACTGACAAAAATCTCAAAGACCGGACACTCAGCTAGTGTGGTCCAACCTGGGACTAGATGCTCTGTGACATCCCTACCATTCCCATTCCGCACTAATGCGCCAGTAGGGGAAAGGGAAAAATTAGACCCTGGACTCTGGCTACCCAGCTCTCCCTGCAATGGGTCCACCTGCCACAAGTGCTGGAGAGGTGAAGGGAGGAGAAGCTCCTCCTGAAAGACCAGCAGATTTTCCACACTTGCAGTGTCTATGCAGGGTCACTAGAACCACCACCGGGCTCCAAAGGGTTGACAGCCACTGCCACCCATATGGCCAACCACAGCAAGAGAACCTTGTTGATCAACCAACTGCTGTAGCCAGTCTTATGCTCTCACATGAAGCTTTGCACCACCTCCTCTCCCAAAAGCCTGCGGCTGAACCCTGCCAAGGTCCCGCAGTACCTTCTCATAATATTGCAGTTCATAATCCAGGATGACTCCGTTGGGTTGGTCAGGCTGAGACCATGAGAGGGTAATGCTGTCCACAGTGCGGCTGACCTGGTGCATGATGGACACAGCTGAAGGAGCTGGAAGAGAGAGCAAGAGAGAAGCCTCAGTCAGATGCCTGCATGGGCAGGACCTGCATCCCCTGGCTGGAGGCAGGCAGGTCTATTATTGCTATTTGGAGCTACTGAATTCACTTCCAGCAGTGGCAGGGCTGTCCAGGGGTCAGGACATCACGGCTTTTGCTTTTGTTTGTAGAGAGCAGTTAGGGGAGAACAAAATGTTTCCACTGCTCACTAAGAGTTTGTAATTAGAAAACATATAGAGCAGTGTCTCGGGCAGGAAAACAGATGATTCCCAGGCAAAATGAGCCCAGGGTTGGAGCAAACACAGCCTTGTTCCCCTGGAAAAAGCACTACCAGCCCAGCAACATGCAATCCTCCCTGCCTGCCATGGGGAAATATGGGATTTTGTGCTTTGACATTTGCACAGAGAAGCTTTATAAGGCATAGGCAGATGCAGGAAGCAAGCAGCTCCTGCCTTGGTGTGCTGGGTCTGCAAGTTGCACATGCTAATCAAGGGAGGTGCATACAGCAGCCTGAGCATGCAACGCAAACCTGACCTGACATGCTGACAATGGTGAGTCGCCCGCCTCGTCAGAGTGCCCTGGAAATAGCACACACACAGACGCCACTTGTCCCACTGAGCACAATGGGACCTTCCAGCAGCTCCTCAGACAACCCAGCCAGCTGTCCACCCCTTGTGCTGCACTGCGTTGCCTGTGTGGCTTGACACATGGCCAGGTAGGAACAGCGCAGTCTCAGCCTGTGCCATGCCATGGGAAAACTGTCCTCCAGGGATCTGTGCTAACAAGTCCATGGGGCAGGGACCACGCACGGAGCTGCCACCTCCCTGGGAAACCGACCAGGTCTGATCCTGCTTGCTGTGGACCGGGGCAGGTGAGCAAGCAGCCTGGACTGCTTTTAATCCAGTTGGCTCAGGTATTGACAGCAGAGATGCCACACCATTGTAGGTATCAGCCTACAGCCCCTCACCATTGCTGGAGGGGTGACACAGATGTTTGTGCTGCCTCCTCTTCACTGCATCTGAGACCGGTGAGCCAAGCATGTGTCCTTGCCCACCCTGTGCCCAACTTGCTGACAGCACTGCCAACACAGCCTCCATGGATGTCAGTCTGGAGGCCACCCAGACCTCACCCAGCACCAGCCCAGCCTTCGAGAGTGCTAACTCCAGCACAGCGTTAGCCCTGGCATGCCTGCCAGCACAGACTCACTGCTTCAGCAGCTTCAGGGCAGAGGGGAAGCCTCAGGGGTGGGAGAGGACTGGAAAGTGGTAGCAAGAAAGCTTCCCCATCACTTGCATGCCAGGCCTGGTTACAAATGGATGCAGAGAGGCTTGCACTCAGAAGGGCTTTTACCAGGTCCAACCCTTTCAATATTTCATGGAAAAACAACTCATTTGACAGGTCTGAGAAACAGCTTGGAGGAGAGGCACATAAAGCAAAGCACCTCTCACGCATCTCCAGTCTGGTTTCCCTTGGCACCGCGAGCAGCAACAGAAACCATGCCAGCCAAGGACTGCAGACACGGCAATGGTAGGACTGCTCTACTTGGACCAGAACTTGTATCGTCTCAGAACTTCCCTTGCTCTGTTGCATACAGCACTGCTTCCCTCCTGCCTTGATGTCCCAGTCCCATTGCTTCAGGGCCCATATTTGCAAACTCCTGGGATTAGTTTCTCATGCTGGTGTTAAGATAAAACACAGGGTATGTTTCTGGAGCCTGTCAACTCTTGCCAGAGCTTGCTGCTTCCTCATTGACACAGATTTCATAGGACATCAGCAATCTCCAAGACAAACATTTCTCCCTCTGTGGAGAAAGGCCTTGGAAGGAAGATGTGACCAAGCTACAGATGACCTTGCAGCCCGGATTGGGACTGCACTGAGATGAGTACACAGCCTGTGGTCTCTCTGGCACATCTGAGCTGCACATGCTCTGGGAACCCACATTCATACAGGCTATTCCAGGACAGGAGTGAGGTCCCTGGGATCCTCTTCTCCCACTTCCATGCATGTGTGAATCATTTGTGACCAGCCATGGCCCAGGCAGCTGTGTACTGTGTGAACCTGCCCTCATCTGGCTCAGAAAAAAGAACCAAATGGATGAGGTGGGGCTCATCTAATAAGAAATAAGACTTAATGAGGCAAATACACTGTATGCTGAGGAGGAGGCAGGTGAGGTGAATGACTACAGCAACTTCAGCGCTTTTCCTACACCTGGGGCAAAGGAGTGTCTCTGGATAGGCAGGAACCTCCATCATTGTGTCTTCTCAGTAACTGCGCTTGTTATCACAGACATCAGGGAAATGCACAATAATAAAATCACAGAAAACTTTAGGTCAGAAGTGACCTCTGGAGGTTTCTAGTCCAACTGGCTTGCAGAGTAATTTCAAAGTCAGATCACTTTGCTCAAGACTGCGTCCAGTTGAGATCTGAATATGTTCAGGGATGGGGATCTCGCAGGCTCTCGGAGCACCAGTACCCAGCTTCCTCAATCTTGTGGGGAAGAAGGTTTTCCTTGCATCCCATTGGAACTTCCCTCATTGCACCTTGTGGCCACTACTACTGTCCTGTCACTGCACACCTCTGGGAAGAGCTTGGCTCTGACTTCTCTTTAAACTCCCTTTTGAAGTGGAAGACTGTAGCTAGATGCCCCTCAGCCTCCTCCTCTCCAGACTGACCAAACCCGGCTCTCTCAGCTATCCTCATATGTCTTGTGCTCCAGCCCCTGGCCCATCCTAGTGATCCTCCTGCTGGACCTGCTCCAGTTTGCTGATGTCTCTGTAGTACTGGGGAGCCCCAAGATGGACACAGTACCCCAGATGTTGTCTCATGAGTGCTGAGTGCATGGGAACAATCACTGTCCTCAATTTTTTGCCTGTGCTCTTGCTAATAGAGTGCAACACGCTGTAATGCTACAAAACATGGTCCTCATCACACATCTTCACCACAAGTGAGGGCAACAGCTTGTGCAGAGAGAGGCTCCCAACTCTGTGAATAAGGGATGGGCTGGGACTGGATGTCTGAGTTTAAAAACAGTTTAGTGGAGTCAGACAGACCTCAGAGTGACTTTCTGAAGTCTAGTCAGAAGGAAAAGCTTCTAGCCGGATAGTGACACAAACGCTCAGGCAGCTGGTATCTGGCAGCTCTTGTCCCCTGGAGGCAAAGCTAGTGAAGACTCATGAGTTTCTGACTCTTCACCACTTCCAAGGCTGGAATGTCCTGGTGGCAGCTCTCTGCTCTGCCCCTAAGTCCACATGGAAGACCTTGTACAATTCCACATTATCCCTCTGCACTGCCATTTTCTACCTGGAAAATGAGGCTAGTCATCCTGTCTCGTTTTCATTCCCTGCCTGTCTTATCTAATTTTACTGAGCCGTTTCAGAGGCAGAGACTGTGCTTAGGAGCTTGGTCCCCCAGCAGTATTTAATGCATGTAATATAATAGCTAAAAAGGAAGGAGATGAGAACAGTTAAAATGAACACAAAGAGCATCTAATCTGGAATAGTGTTACCTGGTGATACTCTCAACACAAGGTGTGCTCCAGCTCTGACAGAAGCATCAAGAACTTTGTGACCAGCCTGAACTACAATGTAGAAAGAGTTTTTCTGCCACAGGACATGGTGAAGTAACAAACACAACAGAAAAGACTGTGCGAGATACACAGTTTCTGACATGTGATGAACTCAGCTGAGCAAAGATGGTAAAAGTCTCAGAATATCTAAGCTGACTTTCCTGAACTGTTGTTTCTGAACAAACTATACATAGCTTCCCTTCATTGGGTTTCTGAGTATTTCAAAGCAAAGATTTAAGAAACTGCAAAAAGGAACAAAATAATTAAAAAACCCCAGCTTTGTTCTTCCAGCCTGCTTTGTGCCAAGCCCTTTCCAGGGCTGCTCAGAGTACAGCTGGGCTGCTAATGCTAAAGATCTGCTGGCAGCATTTAACCTGGCCCTGTGGGATTGGCCACCTTGTTCCACGAACCATGACTCCTCTTTGTTCCCTTTTGACAAAAGAAACAGAGGTTTAGGGACCATGTCCAGGTTGGAAAAATGGTCTTTTTTTCATTTCCAGGTTGGAAATGGTCACTAAATTGGTGACAATTGCCCAGTGGCACAAGGTGCCCAGTGCTAAAGACATTCCCTTGGCTGTTGGCTCGCCTGGTTGTCTCTTACTCCTGGAAGGTCTTTGAATTACTGTGCACAGGGAAAATGGATGCTGGAAAAGGGACCTGCCCTGTGACACATAAAGGAGATCAGATTTGGAGCATCCTAGCTCTCAGAACCACTATCACTTTGAGATGTCACCCCCATGAATGTGTAAGCAGAGGCAGCTTTATCCTGATGGTGTCTCCAGGTGCATGTGTGCAGCAATGATGCAAAAAATAAACAGAGCTTCATTTCCATAGCAGAGAAACTTACTTTTCATGACTGGAACCCCATGTCACTTGGAGGCAAAATGAATCATCTGAGTCCTTGAAAGGCACTTTTCTACATCCTCTTTATCTGGGATGGCCTCAGATTCTTTGGATTCTTCTTAGTGGAGCCCTGTGGCTTCTCCAAATTGCTGGAGAAATAAACCAAGCCAAAACCACCACTGGAGTGTAAAACAAGCTTAATGAAAATCCACTGATGTAAAAAGGCAGATGACCTGTCCCCTGCTGCAAGAAAATCTGCAGCACACGGGGAGGGGAGGCAGCTGACATCTCTCATGTGATGACCCCTCTGGGGCAGAAGCACCAGGGGGATGCGAGGGATGCTTCCATGGTCATCACCCCAAGCCTCCACATGGCCACACAACACTGATCACAGCCAGACCTTTGTCTAGGCTCACACTTGGGGTTTCCGCAGTTTACCTTAATCCACCAGGAGCTGAGCAGACTTCCCTGGCTCGGGGGCAGCTCTGCAGGATAAATCTCTGGGGTTGTTGACAGCTCTTCTTGTCTGGCTTTTCTATGGCCCACACAGGGTGCAAGAAGCTGCCTAAGCTCAGCTACTGGAGACA